AGACCATCCTGGTCAACACGGCGAAACCCTGTCTCTACTAAAACTACAGAAAATTAGCTGGGCATGGTGGCGCGTGCCTGTAATCCCAGCGACTCAGGAGGCTGGGGCAGGAGAATTGCCTGAACCCGGGAGGCGGAGGTTGCGGTGAGCTGAGATTGCACCATTGCACTCCAGCCTGGGTAACAAGAGCGAAACTCCGTCTCAAAAAAAAAAAAAAAAAAAAAAAAAAAAAATGGTTACATCTTATTTATTTATATAGAACATTGGTCCAATAACACAAAAATAGAGAATAGCATCTGGGCTTCCTTCCTCCCCTTCCTTTCCTTTAGAAAAAAAAAAAAAAAGAATACCATCTGGCAATTTATCTCATTCAATAATCAGAGGTAAAAGAGTTAACCATCCTTTCCATTATTTTCTGGAGTAAGTCCTTGTTCACAATGAAATCTGATGGCAATTAAATTCTGACATTTTTCCCAGCTACTGTATGAAGATGCTGAAGGCCATTACTACATAGCATACTGCAACATAAGGACTCTTCTGTTCACCAATTCTGGCACACTTCCAAAATATACCCAACAATCCAGTTTTATTTCTGTCCAAGAGGCTGGGTGCCAAGTATCAAATATAAGCACAGGTACATATAAGCAGCAAGATTACAGTCAATAGACTGAAAATTGAAAATGGCAGACATAGTGAGGGGGGCGAGACCGCACCCACATCACCCTTCCGGCTTTTTTTTTTTTTTTTTCAGATGGAGTCTTGCTCTGTTGCCCAAGCTGGAGTGCAATGGTGTGATCTCAGCTCACTCTAACCTCCACCTCCTAGGTTCAAGTGATTCTCCTGCTTCAGCCTCCTGAGTAGCTGGGATTACAGGCGCACACCACCACACATATGAAGTTTCCTCTGAAAATTATTTATTCTCAATAGCCTCGAATCCTTTTTTCACAAGGAAAATATTGCATGTGCAAAAAAAGAAAAACACCTTTTTCTTCATTGTGTTTACTTGTATCTATGGCTGTGTCATAAAAAGTAAAGCATTTAGACTTTAATCTCTCTTCTTAAATTTTTTTTTTTTAAGACGGGGTTTCACCATGTTGGTCAGGCTGGTCTTGAACTCCCGACCTCAGGTGATCCACCCACTTTGGCCTCCAAAGTGCTTGGATTACAGGCATGAGCCACCATGCCCGGCCTGACCTTAATCTCTCTAATAATAAATGGAGTGCTATTATATACTGTTTCATATACTATTAACAATATAATATCATTACAATAAATTTTGTGTTGATACTTTAAAATTTCCTTCTAATTTTGGAATGAGAAAATATTTTTGGCAACTGTACATTCAAAAAGACATTTGGCTAAAAGACTCATTTACAATGTGGTAGGTGATGATTTTGTCTTCTCTACTGGGATTTCTCTTAAGGTTTGGTGGACTTTCAGAAGTGGGCGTGGAAGGGTTGGAACCGAGAATTGACCCGCCCGGACGGTAGGCTCAGTGGAAACTACACTACCCACAAACCCACTCGGTACACATCCAGTGAGGGCCCAGCAGAGGCGTGTTTCCGTGCATGAGGAGGGCGCGTGGGCGGGACTTCCGTCTCCTCCTCGTAGGGGACATTTTGTTTCTGAGGCTGCACCTGGCTGGGGCTCTGTAACACTTGGGTGAGCCGCAGGTGGAGCTGTTGGGAAAGCGCGGAGGAAATGTTGTCTCCAGTGTCCCCAGACGCGCCCGAAGCTCTGCGGAGGCGGAAGTGCCTGCGTACCGGATCGAGACGTCTGCCACTCCCAGCAGCTGTCCGCGCCCACGGTCCTGTGGCGGAGCTAACCGATTCCGCACGGGTGCGTGCTGTGTCCTGCGGGCCCTCAGCCACCACTTCTCCTTTCTCCGACTACGCATCGTAAAGTCCCTGCAGCCCTTGTGTTCCACGACAGCGAAGCACTCTTGGGCAGGGTCCTATCTCGGTGTGGGTGGATGTGGGAGAATTACGGGCAGAGGGGACGGCGCGGGTAAAGCCTCGGGGGTGCTGTTGACCCATGGGCTTTTGGGAGACAGGGTTCTCGTCAGCATGGAGCAGAGTTTGAGGAACTGTGCCTGGAATGACAGGCTTAGGGCTGAGAAAGCGTTGCGATTACTTGAGGGTTTTGAATAGGACGTGATCTTAGCTGGGATTTTAAGTGTGTCCAAATTTGCTGAGGAGAGGACATTAGTTTGAAGTGGGGACTGTGAGGATGGGTACGAGGAAACCGGTAAGGAGGTGCTGCAGTGGATTCCAGGAATGCCTTGGTGGTGGATGTACCAAGCAAGAGTGATGGCAGGTGATCATGTTCTCTGGGTAGGTTTTAAATATGAAACAGGATTTTCTGCTCCATCATATGCACCTATATGATTGAAAGCAAGGCATGAAAGAGCAAGGTGTTTTGTTGTATTTTTCCATGAACGTTTGGATTTCGGAATGATGGCTCTGAGATGTCTCAGAGTGACTGCTTCCTCACGTAGGCAACTAGAGAGGTCTGAAGTTGTGGGGAAGGGGCTGAACTTAAAATGTTTTTGGGGCGAAGGGAGTGGTCGGGACTAGGTCAAGGCCAGGAGATCACATTTAAATGGGGCAGTCTTAAGTATGTTATTTCAGATGCTCTCTGGGGTAAGAGATGAGAATGCTGGAACTGGATTGCAGGTAAGGGGGAGTGGTCATTCTTGAGATTCCCCCCGACAGAAGAGAAGGGTCCTGGCATTTGAAAGGGTTGTTTTCAGTGTTTGCAGGAGGAGAGCGCTGTAGGGTATGAGGAGTTTGGCCTGGGATGGCAACCATGTGTAGTGTGCTATCAATTTGCTACTATCTGATGTTCTCACTCTCATTTTGTGTGTTTTCTTTTAGTTTATTTACTTATTTTTACTTTCTTGAGAAGAAGTCTCACTATCACCCAGGGTGGGGTGCAGTGGCTCATTGCAACCTCCACCTTCCAGGTTCAAGAGATTCTCCTGCCTCAGCCTCCCGAGTAGCTGAGATTACAGATGCCCCCAACCACACCTGGCTAATTTTAGTATTTTTAGTCGGGGGAGGGGGTGCGGGGGGGGCGCAATGTTCACCATGTTGGCCCAGGTGGTCTTGAACTCCTGACCTCAACCGATCCACCGGCCTCAGCCTTCCAAAGTGTTGGGATTACAAGTGTGAGCCACTGCACCTGGCTTTAGTTTTAGTTTATCTTTATTATTTATTTAGAAACAGAGTCTCTGTTGCCCAGACTGGAGTGCAGTGGAGCAATCTCAGCTCACTGCAGCCTCCGCCTTCTGGGTTCAAGCGATTCTCCTGCCTCAGTTTCCCCAGTAGTTGGGATTACAGGCATGCACCACCATTCCCAGCTAATTTTTATATTTTAGTAGAGATGGGATTTCACCATGTTGGCCAGGCTGGTCTCAAATTTCTGACCTCAGGTGATCCACTCCCCTCTGCCTCCCAAAGTGCTGGGATTACAGAAGTGAGCCACCACGCCTGGCCACTTTTAATGTTTTTTTTTTTTTTTTTTTTTTTTTTTTTTTTTTTTGAGATGGAGTTTCAGTCTTGTTACCCAGGCTGGAGTGCAATGGCGTGATCTCGGCTCACTGCAACCTCTGCCTCCTGGGTTTAGGCAATTCTCCTGCCTCAGCCTCCTGAGTAACTGGGATTACAGGCACGTGCCACCATACCCAGCTGATTTTCTGTATTTTTAGTAGAGACTGGGTTTCACCGTGTTGACCAGGATGGTCTCGATCTCTTGACCTTGTGATCCACCCGCCTCAGCCTCCCAAAGTGCTGGGATTACAGGCTTGGGCCACCGCGCCCGGCCTATTTTTTTTTTTTTTTTTAAGAGAAGTCCTAAGTCTCATTTAGTTTATTTATTTTATTTTATTTTTATTTTATTTATTTATTTTTTTGAGACGGAGTTTCACTCTTGTTACCCAGGCTGGAGTGCAATGGCGCGATCTCGGCTCACCGCAACCTCTGCCTCCTGGGTTCAGGCAATTCTCCTGCCTCAGCCTCCTGTAGTTTATTTTTAATTGACAATAATGTCTATATTTATGGAGTATGAAATGATGTTTTTATACATATATACATTGTGGAATGATCAAATCAGGATAATTAGCATGTCCATCACTTCAAATACTTATGATTTTATGTTGAGAACATTTAAAATCCTTTTAGCTATTTTTATTTATTTATTTTTTTGAGATAGGCTGTCACTCTGTTGCCCAGGCTGGAGTGCAGTGGCACGATCTTGGCTCACTGCAACCTCCGCCTCCCAGGTTCAAGCAGTTCTCCTGCCTCATCCTCCCAAAGTAGCTGGGATTACAGGCACTCACCACCACATCTGGCTAATTTTTGCATTTTTCAGTAGACATGGGGTTTCACCATGTTGGTCAGGCTGGTCTGAAACTCCTGACCTTGTGATCTGCCCACCTTGGCTTCCCAAAGTGCTGTGATTACAGGCGTGAGCCACTGCGCTTGGCCTAGCTATTTTGAAATATACGTGATTACCAAGTAAAGTCACCTTGCCATGCAATGGTACGCCAGAACTTATTCCTCCTAACTTTAATTTTGTACCCATCAACTAGTCTCTTCCCTTTCTCTGCCCAGCCCTCCTCCCACCTGCAGCCTCTGGTAACTACCCTTCTACTTTCTACTTCTATGAGTTGGATTTTTAAAATTTTGCATGTAAATGAGATCACACAACATTATTCTGTCTCATGTCTGTTCTTTTCACCTAACATAATGTCATCTAATTATTTCGTAACAGAATTCCCTGCTTTTAAAAAGCTTAATATTATTCTATTGCACACATACACATTTTAAAAATTCATTCATCTGTTAATGGGTACTTAGGTTGTTCCAAATCTTGGCCATTGTGAATACTGCTACATGGAATATCGGAGTACAGACATCTTTTTGGCATACTGATTTCAATTTCTTTGGGAATATACTCAGTGGTGGGATTGCTGGATCATGTGGTAATTCTATTTTTAGTTTTTTGAAGAACCTCCATACATTTTTCCATAATTGCTGCATTTATTCACACTACCAACAACATGAGAGTCTCTTTTCTCCACATGTTTGACAAGGCTGGTTATCTTTTATCTTTTTGATGATAGGCAATTTTACAGGTATGAGGTAATATCTCATTGTTTTAATTTGCATTTCTCTGATGTTTGAAGACATTGAGCGCTTTTCTCATATATCGTTAGACATTTGTATGTCTTGAGAAACATCTATTCAGAAGTTTTATTGGGCCTGTTCAAAAAATAGAAAAAAAAAAAAAAAAAGAGATGAATGTGTATTCAGATCCTTTGTATACTTTTAACAGTACTGTTTTCTTTTTATTGAGTAGTTTGAGTTCCTTTATATTTTGGCTATGTCTCGTATGATTTGTAAATATTTTCTTCCAGATTGTCTCTTCACTCTGTTTTCTTTGCTGTGCAAAAATGTTTTAGTTTGGTGCAGTCCCATTTGTCTATTTTTGTTTTCATTGCCTGTGCTTTTGGGGTCATATCTAAAGAATCTCTGCCCAGACCAAATGTTATGAAACTTTCCGGGCCGGGCGCGGTGGCTCAAGCCTGTAATCCCAGCACTTTGGGAGGCCAAGGCGGGTGGATCACGAGGTCAACAGATCGAGACCATCCTGGTCAACATGGTGAAACCCCGTCTCTACTAAAAATACAAAAACTTAGCTGGGCATGGTGGCGCGTGCCTGTAATCCCAGCTACTCGGGAGGCTGAGGCAGGAGAATTGCCTGAACCCAGGAGGCGGAGGTTGCGGTGAGCCGAGATCGCGCCATTGCACTCCAGCCTGGGAAACAAGAGCGAAACTCCGTCTCAAAAAAAAAAAAAAAAAAAAAAACTTTCCCTCTTTTCTTCTAGTAGTTTTAGAGGTTCAGTAAGGTTAGGGCTTTACTAGTGCCATTTTGTTAATTGGTTTCTGGTTATTTTGAAAATGTTTTGTTCCTTTCTTCCTTTGTGGTTTGATGGCTATCTGTAGTGGTATGCCTTGATTCTTTTCTTTTTATCTTTTGTGTATCTATTATAAGCCTCTGTGGTTATTCTGAGGCTTACATAAAGCATCTTATAGCTACAACAGGCTCTTTTAAGTTGATAGCACTTTAATTTTGATCCCATACACAAATTTTACACTTTCCTCACCCTTCTACCACATTTTGTTTTTCACATTACATTTTACATCTTTTTTTTTGTAGTCTTTAACAAATTGTTGTTGCTTTATTTTATTTTTTGAGACAGAGTCTCACTCTGTTGCCCAGGCTGGAGTGCAGTTGCATGATCTTGGCTCACTACAACCTCCACCTCCCGAGTTCAAGCAATTCCCTGCTTCATCCTCCAGAGTAGCTAGGATTACAAGTGCCCGCTACCATACCTGGTCAAGAGACTTTTTATGGTTCTTGCTGTCCCTTTCTTTGCAGGGCTGTGTGGTCTTTGAGGATGTGTTTGTATACTTCTCTCGGGAAGAATGGGAGCTTCTTGATGATGCTCAGAGACTCCTCTACCATGATGTGATGCTGGAGAACTTTGCACTTTTAGCCTCACTGGGTAAGGTCCTCATGCTTTTCTCCTTTTGCCCAGGTACCACTCTGTTCTTCCCATGGTCATAAGCACTTGCTGCCTTTAGCAGTTTCCTGGAGTAGGTGATGAGGGTGCCAGGGCTAAGCTGCATGGAGTATCCTCCCTACTTGCTGAGCAGTCCTAAAGCCTTGCAGCCAAAGGTTTGGGGTTATGAGACTTGTGGTTTGCCCAGTGGATCTCACTAGGTCTGGTTACTTTCTACACTGGTGACTCTGTCCAAAATTATGGTGTCTCCGTGCCCAAGGTTCTGCCCCTTTCTCCAGGTGACATTTTTTTTTTTTCTGAGTCAGAGTCTGGCTCTGTTGCCAGAATGCAGTGGCACGATCTCAGTTCATTGCAACCTCTACCTCCCAGGCTCAAGCCATCCTCTTACTTCCTGAATGGTTGGGACTACAGGCATGCACCACCATGCCCAGCTAATTTTTCTGTAGACATGGGGTTTTGTCATGTTGCTTAGGCTGGTCTTGAACTAAGCTGAAGTAATCCACCTGACTTGACCTCTGAAAGTGTAGGATTACAGGTGTGAACCACTGCACCCAGCCCAGGTGACATTTTCTAGGGTCTGACCTTGCCAGGAGTTATAGGCACTTACATAGTCACTTACAGGGGACCTTTGGGCTATTCCTACACAACTCCTCCCAGGTTATTTTTCTTACCTGTAGTCCATCATAGGGTGGGGTTGCCATGGGCCAGTACTGGTTGCTCACATGTCTGACTTTCCCTTAGGAATTGCATTTTCCAGATCAGATGCAGTAATGAAACTAGAGCAAGGAGAAGAGCCCTGGTTGTATGACCAGGTGGATATGACTTCAGCCACGGGAAGAGAGTCCCAGAGGGGACCTAGACCTGGTGAGTGGACATTGGCGAGGGGCATGTCAAAGCTGGGTTCAAACTGGCAACATAACTGTTCACATCAGTGTTTGTTTCCAGGGCCAATGGCCACACAGCATTTCTATCTGTCCTTCCCTGTTCTTGACATGAAGATACAGCATTTCTAGTTTGTTAGACCCTTACCATTCTTCACCTCTGGCCTTCACCTTACACCCATGTTTTCCCAGTATTCTGTCGGCATTTTTTTTTTTTTTTTTTTTTTTTTGCAATATTGACCTGCAATTAGCGTTCACAAGATGTGTATATATTCTTAGTCTTTGAACACCAACTGCTCACTTGTAGTTGGATTTTCCTGGGACTGGATACATTTTTCATAGCACTCATGAGTCACTAACAGTCAAGGCACTACTGGAAGTCATGTGTTTGGTTCCATTCTGTTTTGGCAGACGGAGTCTCACTCTGTCACCCAGGCTGAAATGATCTCAGCTCACTGCAACCACTGCCTCCCAGGTTTAAGTGATTCTCCTCCCTCAGCCTCCTGAATAGCTGGGACTACAAGCGCCTGCCACCACGCCCAGCTAAATTTTGTATTTTTAGTAGAGATGGGGTTTCACCAGATTGTCCAGGCTTGTCTCGAACTCCTCACATTGTGATCCACCCACCTCTGCCTCCCAAAGAGCTGGGATTACAGGCATGAGCCACCGTGCCTAGTCTAGTTCCATTTTTATATCCTGGCCCTTCATTGGCCCTCCCCCATGGTATGACCTCCAGGTTCAATACTTCAATATGTTCCTTCCTCACTCTGACCATGCCTCTCATCTTGAAACAGTTTCATGAACTTATTCCTTCATATGTCAAATACACATATATGATGGGGTTGCCCCTTCCCACCCGTAAACATGCATTTAATCAGCATTTCTGTGTTTCTAGGTTGTTGGCATGGAGTGGAGGATGAGGTGGTATCTTCTGAGCAGAGCATTTCTGCAGCAGGAGTGTCACAGGTCAGGACTCTTATGGCAGAGCTACAGACTCACCCATGTGACATATGTGGCCCAATATTGAAAGATATCTTACACCTGGCTAAATATCATGGAGGAAAAGCTAAGCAGAAACCGTACTTATGTGGGGCATGTGGAAGACAATTCTGGTTCAGTACGAACTTTGACCAGCACCTGAACCAGCCCAATGGAGGGAAACCCTTCCAAAGGAAGGAGAGCAGAGACTCGGTGAAAAGCTGCAGAGTCCATATGCCAGAGAAGACCCTCACATGTGGGAAAGGAGGGAGAGACTTTTCAGCCACATCTGGCCTTCAGCATCAGGCCTCTCACAGCAAGATGAAGCCCCACAAGAACACTAAGCTTGTAAGTGGCTTTTGCATGGGACAGAGGTATCACAAGTGTGGTGAATGTGGGAAAGCCTTTACCCGCAAAGATACACTTGCTCGGCATCAGAGAATCCACACTGGAGAAAGGCCTTATGAGTGTAGCGAATGTGGGAAATTCTTCAGCCAAAGCTACGATCTCTTTAAACATCAGACAGTTCACACTGGAGAAAGGCCATATGAGTGCAGCGAATGTGGAAAATTCTTTAGACAAATCTCTGGCCTGATTGAGCACAGGCGAGTCCACACAGGTGAAAGACTCTATCAGTGTGGCAAATGTGGGAAATTCTTTAGCAGTAAATCTAATCTCATTCGACACCAGGAAGTTCACACAGGAGCCAGGCCTTATGCATGCATTGAATGTGGGAAAGAGTTCAGTCGGAAACACACACTTGTTCTGCACCAACGAACTCACACTGGAGAAAGGCCTTATGAGTGCAGTGAATGTGGGAAGGCCTTTAGCCAAAGCTCCCACCTTAATGTACACTGGAGAATTCACAGTAGTGATTATGAGTGCAGCAGATGTGGTAAAGCTTTCAGCTGCGTCTCTAAACTCATTCAGCACCAGAAAGTTCACTCTGGAGAAAAGCCTTATGAGTGCAGCAAGTGCGGGAAAGCCTTCACTCAAAGACCCAACCTCATCAGGCACTGGAAAGTCCACACTGGGGAAAGGCCTTATGTGTGTAGTGAGTGCGGGAGAGAGTTCATCCGGAAGCAGACACTTGTTCTGCACCAGAGGATTCATGCTGGAGAAAAGCTTTAAGAGTGTAACAAATGTGGAAGACCCTTAGGCCAATGCCCGCAACTTACTGTATGGTGGGGAACTAGCAGCAGTTAATGAGAGCAGCAGATGCAGTAAAGCCTTTGCCTGGAGGGTGAACCTTGCCCGCCATTGGGAATTTCACACTGGACACAGGCCTTGGCAGTCCAAGCAATACTCACGTTAGTATGCTCTGTGGCAGTCCAGAGCATAATCACATGAGTATGCTCTATGGAGTTTTGCAAGTATTTTCAATTACATTTGTGAAATTTTTTCAGTTGGTGATGAAAATGGGATATTTGATAAGATCTATGAGTCCATTTCAAATAATTATGGCTAAGGAGTTATTGGGCAGAATGAAATATGGTAGAGGCTGGTGAGGAAAATTTTTTGTGAATAGGTTGGCTTCTAGTCCTGGGGTTGAGGTTGCACAAATTATGTGGTTCATTCACAAACAGGAAGAAGAACATAAGTGAGACCTGGAGCCCATGGGTTGGAGGGGATAACTAAATGTCTTGCAAAAGACTCGAACACTTCCCATTAGGCCTACTTCCTCCAACATTGATTAGGGGTCACATTTCAACATGAGATTTGGAAGGGACACATATCTAAACTTTATCAGCTGTAGAGTCTAGCCTGTAATTAAGTACTCTACTATACCTTTTCTGAACTCCATCCTGCTGACCCAGCTAACTGATGTCACGGTAAAAGGGGTGACAACATGATATGAGGCACGTTATGGACCTCCTTACTGAGCTCTCTTGAATGAGACTTAATACTGGAGGGGGAGGGAAAATTAAGAATCATTCAGAAGAAAGGTAACTAAAAATAGATGGAAGAAACCTTCAGGAAAACTGAATTGGATAAAATTGTTTAGATGGTTGATTAAAAATGACCTTAAGGCCGGGCGTGGTGGCTGACGCCTGTAATACCAGCACTTTGGGAGGCCGAGGCGGGCGGATCACGAGGTCAAGAGATCGAGACCATCCTGGCCAACATGGTGAAACCCCATCTCTACTAAAAAAAATACAAAAATTAGCTGGGAATGGTGGCACACGCCTGTAGTCCCGGCTACTTGGGAGGCTGAGGCAGGAGAATTGCTTGAACCCGGAAGGCAGAGGTTGCAGTGAGTTGAGATCATGCCACTGCACTCCAGCCTGGCACCTGGTGACAGAGCAAGACTCTGTCTCAAAAAAAAAAAAAATA